ATGTGGCTTGTTGTACACTCATCATGTAACTGTAAAACCTTAGGAAATTATCCATGTGATAGTTCCGTAATAACAAACTAATAAAATCTAATCAGCAAAGGAAGCCACCTTAATAATAATAATAAAAAAAAAAAAAAAAAAAAAAAAAAAAAATATTATATATTTTATATATATTTTATATATTTTATATATCTTTTGCATAATTATAATTATATATAATTATACAAGATATGTATAAAATATATGATAGAATAATCATAAATAGATTCACTCTTAGGATTCGTCTACCTATCAATAGCAATTGTAAGATTAACTTCATTATTAATAATTCGTTCTACTTTAATATTAACATAAACAAGTTCTTGATCTAAAAGCATATTTGATACAATCCAACGACTTGGGATAGGATAAGTAGCATATAATGCTTTAGTATATTTTTGAAAAAACAGATGCTCAACAAGAGCAAAAGGTAAATTACAACATACTACTATTTTTGAGTAATATCTTGTTAATTTGATCTTCCTTACTTAACGAAGTAAGAATATTTTCATATTCATTTAATTTTTGCCTTTTACTTGTTTTGGTAGTTGATGTTAATGCTGTATCATTATCCGAATCAACAAAATCATGTGATAACAAGTGCAAGACTTTAATTCTAGTTTCCGAATCAACATTTTTGCATTCATATGCAAGATGCTTTTTGAGATTACATGGTTTAGCAGTAGCCTAATGAAATTCACAAAAAGAACATGTCGCAGAATAATATCCTTTAGACATTTCACTTCCCCTTATAAACCATATCCACACCTCACTAATTGGACGTCCACCTCTTTTTTTTTTTTAATTATAGGTGCGTTTGATGACATTTTTTATAAAAGAGCGAAAAACATTAAAGCGATTACATTTATCATAAAACATACTATCTTAAACAATTAATATCATTTAAAACTTTAAGGTTTTAATTTTAGGAAATGATCATCCTGAATCGAACCTTGATAAAATTCGCACTATGTTCGAAATTCAAGGGTTTCGGTCACATGTATAGTTGCAATGTCCGACTTTTTTTGCATATCGATATGTCCAAAAAAAATTGAAACCATTTGGACATTGTAATGTGACAACCCTGGTTACGGAAAATCGTACGATCTCATTGTGCCTATAACAGATAAATAAGCTATAACTAACACTGTTCCAAAATTAAAGAGCTTTTTTACAATTCTCTTCATCCGAATTAAAGAATAAATTCTTTATCTACTATAAACTTCTATGTATAAGTTACCGTATAAACTTTACAAGTTTTAATACTGTATAAACTAATAATTTATTGCCCGATAAATGGAGTAAACCAAGCAAATTGTTTTTATTGAAACTTTAAACAACAATAACTCAACAAAAGCTTTATCAAATTTAATAAAAAATTTTTTATTAATTTTGATAAAAGTTTTTGTTAAGTTATTGTTGATTAAAGTTTCAAAAAAATTTACTTAGAAAAAATTCGCTTAGAAAAAATTCGCTTGATTTCTATTGACTCAACCCCAAATTATGACATTTTATTGGTCAACTGCATATTATAAATGCTTCGACTTGGACTATAAATCTTTGCTAGCATTTACTGTGAAACACAAACCCTAATTTGGTTCCGAGTACACGACTTAAAAAGTTATTAGTATCTTGCTTCTTATAAAGTATGTATATTAAAATGTTTTCAGCTACTTTTTTCAGGAACACACGACCAAGTTTTACTCTTTTACGTCATAAAATAACGCAACCTCGCTTCACCTCTTTTTCTAATCTCCGCTATTCAGCTCTTAATTTTGGCTCAAGCTCTAATCGCAATAAAGTTACTGCTGTAAATTCTCAGCAGCCAGTGATTTCACCTAGCGATGTATTTCTTCAAGGCAGTGCGGCAGGTTACATTGAAGAATTGTACGAAGCCTGGCTTAAAGATCCTACATCCGTTCACTTGTCCTGGCAAGTGTACTTTAAAAATATTCAAGCTGGCGTGAATCCACGTTATGCCTATCAACCTCCTCCGACACTTGTACCAAATGGAATGTCCATTTCGGTATCACCAGGCACTTATGGAATAAATGATCATATGAAGGTACAACTTTTAGTAAGAGCTTATCAAGTTCGTGGGCATCATCTTGCAAAATTAGATCCTCTAGGCATTTTGAATGCTGATTCTGAGTTTCCAAAAGAACTTGATCCAATTCATTATGGCTTTACTGAAGGAGATCTTAATAGGCAATTTTCATTGGGTCCTGGAATATTACCTCAATTTGCAAAGACTGGTGAAAAAAAGACCCTTAAAGAGATTGTTGAATATTGTAAGCGAATTTATTGTAAGTATAATAAATAATTAATTAATAATCGTTCTCATCATCTCTAGAACCGGATTTTTGAACATTACTTAAGCCACTAAGTAAAGTTATTCCCTAGGTATTAAGATGTATAGAATTAAATTTTTATAAATATTTAATTTTAATTCTCAAATTGGTTGAAAAAAAAAAAAACTATTTTTTTATTCTAATATTTTATAAAAAATTTAGAATTTATAAAATTTGATTAATTCTCGGAGAGTAACTTTACTTAAAGACTTAAATAATGTTTCTAGAGATCATGTGGTTCAAAGTTTTTTTTTTGGGGGGGGGGGGTTATCTGATACAATGAATCATTTGAGGCACAAAATATTTAAGCTAAACTTATTGATGAAACTCTCTGATCAGGTGGTCCGATTGGTATCGAATATATTCATATTCCTTATCGAGTTCAGTGCGATTGGATTCGTACTCGAGTAGAAATTCCAGTACCATATAGTTATACAACGGAAGAAAAACGCATGATTCTTGACAGATTAATATGGTCAGATTCATTCGAAAAATTTATAGCTTTAAAATACCCGACTGAAAAAAGATTTGGTTTGGAAGGATGTGAAATTTTGATTCCTGGCATGAAAGCTTTGGTAATATCAAAATATCGCGTTTCTTGATTATTGTTTTATATTTATTTATCTTATTTATTTGGCATAATTAATAGATTGATAGATCTGTTGATCTTGGGATAGAATCTATTGTGCTTGGAATGCCTCATCGTGGTCGATTAAATGTACTTAGTAATGTAGTTAGAAAACCGAATGAGTCCATATTTTGTGAATTCGGAGGGTCTGCAAATTCTGCAGATGAAGGTTCTGGTGATGTCAAATATCATTTAGGTATGAATTATGACAGACCAACGCCATCTGGAAGACGCGTACACCTTTCTCTTGCTGCTAATCCCTCCCACTTAGAAGCTGTGAATCCTGTTGTATTGGGCAAAGTTCGTGCTCTTCAACATTACACAGGTGACGAAAAAGAACGCCATCGTTCCATGGCAGTGTTACTTCATGGAGATGCTGCATTTGCGGCACAAGGCATAGTGTATGAAACAATAGGCTTCCACGATTTGCCATATTATACAACTGGTGGTACAATCCATATAGTTGTCAACAATCAAATTGGATTTACTACTGATCCTCGGTTTGCACGTTCAACACCATATTGTACTGATATAGCGAAGGTAGTCAATGCGCCTATTTTTCATGTGAATGGGGATGATGCTGAGGCTGTAACTTTTGTGTGTCAATTAGCATCTGAATGGAGACAAACTTTCAAAAAAGATGTTGTTATAGACTTAGTCTGTTATCGTAAACATGGTCATAATGAAGCTGATATGCCAAGCTTTACGCAGCCAAGAATGTATAAACAAATTGCTAACTTTACTATTATGGGCCTAGGTCTTACCCGAATAAGTCCCACTACAATGCCCCCTAACAGATGGGTGTCATGATACCCAACTATGCTATGCTATATCCTAATCTAGCTTGCATATACTCTTATTCGATATTTGTACAAACCCGGTTTTTTCTGTAGCCGTCCACTGGATCAGACTTCTTTGTATTTCAGAATGTTTTGCTAAGCAGATCCTCCCAATCTAGTTAGCCGCCAAGCCAAATTGGTGTTGCCATAATGCCTAGTGTCATAGACTTACTCGCACCTACTCGATCTACATCTTCGTACTTAGAGATCTTCACTGGATCAGGCGTTAACTGGTGTGACCATCAAAATTCGTACTACTTTACCTAACTCGGAATTTCTACTATGCAGGTCCTCTGCCCGTAGATCCTATCTCAATTTATTTGTGTAATGCAACTCCAACATTCTGTCACACTTCCAATGTTCGAACAACATTGATGCAACGTGATTTACAGGGTTACAACTCCCAGAAATAGACAGAGTTTACCATAAGTTGAATACAGATATCTAGGTAATTATTCAATTCTGTCGACAGTGGGATTTGAACCCTAGACCTCTTGCATAGTAGTCCGACAACCTAACTACTTCACTAGATCGCCAGACCTTGTTCTGAAATTTTTAAATTTTCATATTTAATAAAAACTTATATAGTACTAAAATTAATTTTTATATATGCTAAAATTATTGCTGAAATTATTACTAAAATTTTTTAAATTCTTTTTATTAAAATATATTATATAATATAGTTGTTTCAGAAGGTTTTATATAAAAAATTCTGTAATACTGAAATATTTGCTAAAAATATTTTTTTTCAAAATAATTTAAATATATATATATAAGCAGAAACACTTTATAAGAAAACTAATTTTAGATCTTTCTAATAATCAACTTGGTTCTGAGAGAAATAAATTATTCATACAAATTTTTTGTAAAAATACTGTTCTATAATTTTTTTTTTTTTTTTTACTTTATACAAATACTATCAGCTAAAACTTTATTGGTATAGGTCTAGTAATCTTAGTATAGTAGTTAGATTGCCAGACTATTATACAAGAGGTCTGGAGTTTAAATCTCACTGTCGATGAATTTGAATAATTACTCAGACCTTTGTATCTAACTTACAGTAAAACCTGTTTGTTTCTGAGGTTGGAATCCTATAAATCATATTGTATTATTATTATTTGAATATTAAAAATATAATGAAGTATTCAGAGAGTATAATATTATACAAATTAATCTTAATAGAATTAATAAGCAAGAGATCTGTATAGTAGAAATCTCAAGTTGGTAAAGTAGTATAGCTTTTGAAGTTATACTAGCTAATGCTTAATTCAGAAAAGAAACTATCGTCAAAAGATGCAGATCGAGTTGAGTATATATAAATTCATTCTATAGAGAGGATCAGTAATACTAACTTGGCTTGGCAGCTAACTAGATTTGGAGGATCTGCCTCATGAAATATCTGAGAAGATAGAATATAAAAAAACTAGTGGAGAGCTATAGTAGGAACTAGAGTTATACAAATATCTACAAAAGTCTAAGCTAGGTAAATTTGTAAAATAGGCATAGACTACTCTAGTAGATATGCTTTTAAGCTTAACTAGAGCTCTGTAGCTTACAATATATTAGGTATACACATCTCAAGAGGACCTAAGTTATGTAGTAAATAGATTTACAGACAAGTCAGCTAGCTTAAGTAATTAGATGTAGTAGTGATGTTAGTTTGGAATAGAAGGAAAGGTTAATGATTAGAGTATTTAAATAGGTAATCCACAGATAAATTGCTAGTATAGCAACATAGTATAGAACTAGCAGATAGTTAATCATCTATATGGTAGACTACTTAAATTAAACAATGACTAAAGTTGTATATGTAGCTTGTTGTATAGTCATCATATAACTATAAAACCTTAGGAGTCTACTTTAGGGTAGTTCTATAATAACAAATTAATAAAATCTAATCAGCAAAGAAGCTACCTTAATAATAATAAAAAACTTTATTAGTATTGATAGTGAGTAAATAATATATATTGTAAGAGTACAACTAGTCATATGTACAACTTTAAATTGTCTAATTTAAGCAGTTACTTGAAGATTCTACACTAGTTGCTATATCTGAAATCTATTTGAAAATTACCTATTTAAACTCTCTGACCCTATGATACTTACTTATATTCTATTCTTATTTTATTAAAGTTTGTTTAACCCTATGCTACTTCACTTTTTGGAAGACACCCAAGCTACATTAGTTCACAAACTTTATGATTCAGAGCCTAGACTCTATCACAAGATATCTTTCACCAACTCTCTAATTAATAGGATGCTATAGTATCTAACTATGCTATACTATATCCTAATTTAGCTTGAATATACTCTTGTTCGATGTTCATACAAATCTAGTTTCTACTATAGCTTTCTATCAGATTAGTCATCTATACCTCCAGATATTACATGAGACAGATTTTCTCAAATTCAAAAGTTGGTATTGCCTATATCTCTAGATATTACATGAGACAGATCCTTCTAAATTCAAAAGTTAATATTATCTGTGTCTTTAGATATTATATGAAACAGATCCTTCCAAATCTAGTTAGCTACCAAGTCAGATTAGTATTGCTATATGACCTTATATAACAGACTTACTTGTATCTGCTTATTGATCTTTTCATATGCAGGACTTACTCATATCTATATACTGTTCTTTTCATATGCAGAACTTACTCACACCTACTCATTGATCTTTTCGTATATAGATTTCTTTTTCTGAATTAAATATTAACTGGTATGACTATTAAAATCTATATTACTTTATCTAACTCAGGATTTCTGCTATGCAGATCTCTGTTCATAGATCCTATCAAGATTTATTTATATAATATTATGTTTCTCAAATACTTCATCATACTTCTAATATCTAAATGATATTAATATAATATGATTTATAAGATTACAACTTCCAAAAACAAACAGGGTTTAATGTAAGTTAGATACAAAGGTTTAAGTAATTATTCAATTCTGTTAACAGTAGAATTTGAACTCTAGACCTCTTATATGACAGTTTGACAATCTAACTACTATACTAAAATCACTAGATCTGTTCTGTAATTTTTAAATTTTTGTATTTAATTAAAAAGTTATATATTACTGAAATTAATTTTTATATATGCTAAAATTATTGCTAAAATTATTACCAAAATTTTTTAAACTCATTTCATAAAATATATCATATAGTATAGTTGTTTTAGAGAGTTTTATATAAAAATTTTATAATACCAAAATGTTTACTGAAAATACTTTTTTTCAAAAATAATTTAGGCATATATATATAAGCAAAAGCACTTTATAAGAAATCTGACTTTAGATCTTTCTAATAATTAACTTTGTTCTAAAAGAAATAAATTATTCATACAAATTCTTTATAAAAATACTGTTTTAAAATTTTTAAACTTCATATTTAATTCTAAAAAATAAAGCTAACTTGACTCTCTATAATATTAATACAATATTAATAGTTTATAAGAAAACATGAAAATAAGCTTTTATAGATTGTTTAAAATTTATTAATATTAGGTCTGGTGATTTTAGTGTAGTGGTTAGATTGTTAGACTACTATATAAGAGATCTGGAGTTCAAATTCTACTATCGATGAATTTGAATAATTACTCAAATCTTTGTACTCAACTTATAGTAAACCTTATCTGTTTTTGGAGTTGTAATCCTATAAATCACATTGCACTAATATTATTCAGATATTAGAAGTATGACAAAGTATTTGAAGAGATATAATGTTATATAAATAAATCTTAATAGGATCTATGAACAGATAGTAGAAATTCTGAGTTGGTGAAGTAGTATAGCTTTTGATAGTTATATTAGCTAACGCTTAATTTAGAAAAAAATCTATTACTCTAAAAATATAGATTGAGATAGGTGTGGGTAAGTTTGTTCTACAAGGAGGATTAGCAATACTAACTTGACTTAGTAGCTAACTAGATTAGGAGGATCTATCTTGTAAAATATCTGAAGAAATTAGTAAACAGAAAACTAGTAGAAAGAACTAGAGTTATACAAATATTTATAAGAGTCTAAGCTAGGTAAATTCATGAAATAGGCATGAACTGCTTTAGTAGGTATGCTTTGAGATTAATCAAAGCTCTGCAAGCTCACAATATGTTAAGCAATAAGTATCTTAAAAGTATCTAAGCTAGAGTCAAAAATAGATCTATAATGAGCTAGCTAGTTTAGATAGTTAGGTATTATAGTGACATTAGCTTGTAATAATATAAGTTAGTTGTATAAAGTATTTAAATAGGTAATTCACAAGTAGGTTATAGATATTTCAGCATTGTGTAAAACTAATTAGATAGTCTATTATCTGTATAGTAAACTACTTAAATTAGATAATAACTAAAGTTATATATGTAGCTTGTTGTATACTCTTCATATAATTACAAACTGTAGGGATTGCCTATATGTAATCTTATATATCAAACTAATAAAAATCATTTGGCAATATAAGCCACCTTAAAAATAAAAATAATAAAAAAAAAAAAAAGTTTATTAATATTTTAAAAATATATTTAGTTAGTAATAGTATTTTGGTATAGTAAAAAGGATTAAAGAATTTTTTTTATTTAAAATAGTATAAATATGCTAAACTATAAAAGTAACTAAAATATTTTTTACATTTTTTTTATCTAAAAAAAAAAATCACTTTATTTTTATTTAATATGAATATATTTCTTTTTGTACAAGTAAATTTATATTATTTGCTATATCTTCTATTATTGTAGTAAGTATCAAACAAGTTGTATTTTTTTTTTATTCAAGCAAAATTGTTTGTTTAACTAAATTACAATAAATTAGATCTGCTAAAGCCAATTCTGCTAATACTTTTATACTTAAAATTTTTGGTTTCAAGTAGTCATCAAGATCTGTTAATTCTAATT